TAATTTTTGGTGATTTTTTGTTTTTCCCCTTTAAATCCATTGAACTGTCCGTTTGCACAGGTTTCACAAGGTGGACTACCAAATCCAAGCATTTAAAACAGGTTTCAAACATTTTAAGACACTTAAAAATGAGCGAAAACAGACTTCAGAAAGCCATTCAAAAGCACTGGAGCCGGCTGCAATGCTTTTGAATGGCTTTCCGTTGGGGGAAACATTGTTTCACTTAACGATGTTTCCTATGGCGATTTTTGCTTAAGGACGGTAATCCATTCCCATTGGAACGGGTTAACTGGTTTTCAATGCATTCCTATGGGAAATGGTGTTTCGCTTAACGATGTTTTCCCATAGCGATGTTTTTTTTGGAACCAATTAACATCATTAAGCCACCACTGTACGTAAGTCAAGTCAATATTTTCCTATGAGAGCAGTTTGTAAGTCAAAATGTTCGTAACTCGGGCCGTTCGTAAGTCAAGACCCCACTGTAAACTGGATGTTAGACAGAAGTCTGACACAGCATTCAGATGTGCTGTTTTGGCTTCCACCTTGGTGTGACACCCTGCCGCCAGGTAAGAGTGCTTGCTAGTCACCCACAGTGTGATTCACAGAGGCCACAAAGAAGAATGGCAGGTTACTCGCCTGCAGTTGTAGTTCTTCAAGTGGACCTCTGTGATTCACACGTCCCACCCAACCTCCCCTCTGTCACGCCGTGCAGTGATTCCTCTTGTGGTGGTTGACACTACTGAAGGGAGAGTCCTGGTGCAAAGGTACTTATACGGAGAGGGAGGGGTCTGTTCTAATATATTTTTTGCTATCGTAGAAGCTCTAGAATATTCTGATGAGGCACCACGCAGGCGTGGATCACCTACAGTGTGAATCACAGAGGTCCACTCGAAGAACTACAATTACCTGCCGTGGTGGCGTTGTGGGCTAAACTGCAGAAGCCTTTGTGTGCTGCAGGGTCAGAAGACCAGTAGTCGTAAGATCAAATCCACGCGACGGAGTGAGCTCCCGTTGCTTTGTCCCAGCTCCCTGCCAACCTAGCAGTTCAAAAGCATGCAAATGCGAGTAGATAAATAGGTACCACCTCGGTGGGAAGGTAAACAGCGTTCCATGTATAGCCGCACTGGCCATGTGACAACGGAAACTGTCTTTGGACAAACGCTGGCTCTACGGCTTGGAAACGGGGATGAGCACTGCCCCCTAGAGTTGGACATGACTGACTAAATGTCAAGGGGAACCTTTACCTTTACCTAACCTGCCGTTATTGCCAACAGTGGACGGTCTGTCATGAGACCATAAAATCAGAATTATGCAATCGTGGATATCATTAGAGCACTTTCCAGATGTTTCAGAAGCTGGTATTTTGACTGTCCTGCTGATGATAGGATATAAAACCATGTCCCCTCCTCCCCTCGGTGGGGAAAATAAACCCTCTAATATTAGCAGAAAGAGTCCAACCCTGCCCTCCCCATATTTATGAGGTTCAGTTACTTCTGCAGGCAAGAGATCACCCATTGCTGTATTCTCAGGTTCAGTTTGGCTCACTTATTGTTATGGGTATTGTGACAGCATTTGGCAGATTAGATTTTCCAAGAAAGAGTAAGAAACTTTTCATTCACGGTCAAACTAAATCTCAGCACTGTGTGTATTTTGGCACATCTACACAGTAATGCAGTATCAGGACCAGTTACAGAATCAGTGCTCTTTGGCAACCAAATCAGCAGTGTTTCAGATGAGCTTTTTACAACACCATGCCTCTTGCTCATTCACTATATTTTCAGTACATTCAGATGACTACATCCACTTGTAACCTTTATTTTCTCAGTTTATATTTCATTGTTTCCTAAAAACAAATCTGAGGTTTTTGTTATGGACAAAAAGACCAGCTAATGTGATTACTAATGTGAGTGGTGTGTCCATCAGGACACACTTTGGGATATTGGCCTTCATTCTAATATATATATAAAGCAGTCACTGATATTTCATCAAAAAAATTGTTCAAGGCAACCTTTTTCCTCCACAGTTTGTATCTACTTGAATAAGAGTGGCAGCACCGGTCCTCATCTGGACAAAAAGAAAATCCAACAGTTGCCTGACCATTTTGGACCAGCTCGAGCATCTGTTGTTTTACAGCAGGCTGTTCAGGCTTGCATAGACTGTGCTTATAATCAGAAAATAGTTTTCTCATTCCTGAAGCAAGGCCATGGAGGTGAAATCATTTCAGGTAAAAGAGCCAGTGTCCTTTTTCTACCTGTTCTGTCTTTAAAGAAATATTTCTGCAACTCACAATCTAGTCATGGTGTTCTCATGGTTGCCTCAACATGTGAAAGAGAAGGCAGCCATTTACCTCATAGTTTAGAATAGAGGGAGGCAACTTTGGTGATCTGGGGGCAGTTTGGCTTCCATATCACATATGCTGCAGCCCACCTGCCTTCCCACTCCCCCATTTTTAAACATTTTTAATACATCAGAATTGACCAGATGTCCAATTCTGGTTTTAAAACAAATCACTTCAAAACTTGATTTTTCACTTGAAATAACTTTTAGAGGAGAACTGTTGGTCCTGCAGTAGCAGTTCACCCTTTAAATATACAGTGGTGCCTCGCATAGCGAGGTTAATCCGTTCTGGATTAACCTTCGCTATGCGAAAACATTGCTAAACGGGAATAAAAAAGCCATAGAAACGCATTGAACTTCATTCAATGCGTTCCTATGGCTTTAAAACTCACCGTTAAGCGATGTTTTGCCATAGCGCCGCCATTTTCGCGCCCTCGGTAAGCGAGGGCAGGGCGCGAAAATGCGGCGCGGACCTTCCGGCGGCCATTTTGGAACCGCCGATCAGCTGTTCTCCCCGCTTCGTTCTGCGAAAATCTCTAAGCGAATTGCTTAGCGATCTTCGCAAAGCAAAAAAACGCTATAGGGGCCATCGCTGAGCGAACGCTCCAGCGATGGCCCGGACCCCCTCGCTATGCGAATTCATCGCATAGCGAAGCACTCGCTAAGCGAGGCACCACTGTATATAGAGACTCTTGGCAATTAGAAAGTTCTCAGTATTAGTGCAGTAACTTCTTAAGAAAGGAGTGGAGGGTACTGCATTTGCAACTAACTTACTCAGAAATCCTTGTATGTTGAATTTTTACATTTGCTCATTGCTTGGTAAAAATGTAAAGTTGTAATAGAAAGGTAGGAAATCTTTGTCCTCCAAAGGTTTTGTACTAACGCTCATGGTCCTTTACCATTGACCATTCTGGCTAGAGCTTCTAGGGGTTGAGGTCTAAAGCATCTGGAAATGAAAGATTTCCCATCCCAGTATAATTCAGTAAGAGGTGGGCATAGAGGGGGACTAGCACTCCCGAGGGAATAGTCCCCCTCTATTCAGCACTGGTCAGGCCTCACCTTGAGTATTGTGTCCAGTTCTGGACACCACACTTCAAGAAGGATGCTAACAAATTGGAACAAGTTCAGAGGAGGGCGACAAGGATGATCAGGGGGCTGGAAACCAAGCCTTATGACGAAAGGCTGAAAGAATTGGGCATGTTTAGCCTTGAGAAAAGAAGACTGAGGGGTGATATGATAGCACTTTTCAAATATTTGAAAGGCTGTCCTACAGAGGAGGGGCAAGATCTGTTCTCGATCATCCCAGAGTTCAGGAAACGCAACAATGGGCTTAAGTTAAAGGAAGCCAGATTTTGGTTGAACATCTGGAAAAACTTCCTATTAGAGCAGTACGACAGTGGACCCAGTTACCTCAGGAGTTCGTGAGTGCTCCAACACTAGAGGCATTCAAGAAAAACTTAGATTACCTGGCTTGATGGCCTTATAGGCCCTTTCCAACTTCACTTTTCTATGATTCTATGAAAATATGAAATAGTCCACTCAGACAGAATATCTGTTTATTGATAAATGGTATGCAAAAATGAAAGAATATAGCAGAATTAATGCTATTTTATTTACTTAAATAAACCATGATAAGCTGACTTAAAGTTGCTATGGCTATCCTAAAATATATACTGAAACTACCATAATCCAAAAAAGGCAAATTTTGGAGATCAGTTTCTGATATTTCATGTCAGATGTTCTGTTGTAAGATACCCACCTCTCTGCTTTCTGTGAACCAAATGCTTTAGTTGTCATTCATTTTCCTCACTCCACAGTTCTTTCAGAAAGATAATATTTGGAGGGGTGCTGATATTGAAGGCATAATAAAAGTTAACAGTTGTGCCTTCCATTAGGCTGTAGAGTTGGAGGATTTTTATGTAATTCTAGCCCACTTCTGTTAGACTTTTATATGTGTGGCTTTGTCTTCTTTGTTTAAACTAGCTATGTTTGATCATGAGCAGCATACTCTGAACTTACCAGCAGTGAATAGCATCACTTATGTCCTCCGCTTCCTGGAGAAACTCTGCCACAATCTTCGCAGTGACAACCTCTTTGGAAACCAGCCATTCACTCAGCACCATGTGCAACACTCCCGCGAGTATGACCACAACAGGTACCTACCAGGTAGGAGCTGGGATGAGGATAGCTATGGTAATTTTCACAAACTGAGTAAATTCCACCAAACAAAATGCCAAGCTAGTGCTGTTTTTCAAGCAGATATTTGCAATTTTAACACATTTTGCAATCGGACATTTCATGTGCACCACTCCTAAATTTGAAACAGAACTTGATTTTTTTTTATTTCCTCTGGTAAAAAGCTGACCATATCCAGACTTTTTGGAAGTGCTACTTGAATGGAGAGGAATGTGAAAGCAGGAAAAAAAACAGTAAAGCATAATAATAATGATGATGATGATGATGATGATGATGATGATGATGATGATGATGATGACGACGACGACGACACCAGAGGCTCTGTCTTGCTGTTCTGTCTTTGTGCACACCATCTCCATTAACTTCTGTGTTTATCTCACATACATAGTTTTAATTTATCTGGAAACCTCAGATGTGCCTTCTAAACCTGCTATCTGGTTAGAGATGTGTTAATCAAATATACCTCAGATTCTGCTCATGCTCTGATTTTGGAAATGTCTCATGTTACTTGAGAAGGTTCACAGTTAAAGTGAATCCTGGCCATCTATTTTTAATTTCTTCAATGTCATAGAAATAACAGAATGAACAGCTGCTGGCTGTTTAAATAACAAGACAAGATTTCCTGTTTAAATAACAAGGCTTGAAATTATGTTTAGAGATCAGAGACTACCCTCTTTTTAAACAAGTCATTAAGACTTAAGAGAGGTGCTGGGAAGTGTTTAATGAATTGTTTGGTTAAGTGCTTAATTACCTCTATAATTATAGGTGATTAAAGGTTAAATACAATTAAAAATACCAAATAAAATGTTGACAGACAATTAAGTATCTTGGAATGTGGTCGAATGAATAGCGAAATATAGTCATACAATAAAAGTCTGAACACAGCTGGTCCAGAGCAGGTTCTTTAAGATGAATGTTTTATTCAACAAAAACTTAAATCTTGCTTTGAGGCTACATGCTATATGGTATGCATTTAAAACCATCAACAAGAAGTATTTAAAGCATGGATTTATTATAGAATGAAAAGAAAATGCAGTCTCAACTCTTTGGAGCTCTTACAGAAAGTTTACATAGCCAGATATACTATGAAAGAACCCACAGCTCAGTTTGATTGGTACTGGGTGTCATTTGAGGCAGGTATGTTAGATTTGAGAACATCTGCTTGGAAGGGATTGGCCCTTTGTAATTCACCTGAAGATAGTTGTCATGATCCCATGTGGCCCCTCTTTGTTTCACCAAACTAAGAGCTCACACTGTGTGCCCCTCATTAATGAACGAGGTCCAGGCTATATGTCATTTTTCAAAGAACCAAATAGAAATTGTTTATTGTTACAGGTGATGATAATTCAAACAATATTCTTAACTCTTAAACAAACATCCTGCTTCATCCACTCATAACCACCACTGTCCCTAAACTTTCAATCTCCCTGACTAACTCCCCCTCCTTCTACTGAGAATTTTATATCTCGTGACTCCACCCCTCCAGCACTCCCATTGGTCTATGCAGATATCACCTTAATATTCATTACCTGGATGGACACCACATTCCTCCCCCCTTATTAAGTTTGTTTTAGGAGGGGAAACTTAATGGTTTGCCCTCATAAACAAATGAAGGTTTATGGAAGAATACAAATACCAACCTATTACATTAATTACATCACTAAGGATACATTACATTACTCTTACATCAATATATATTAACCTCTTACATTACTTACATTAATAAGGATACATTACTTACATTAAAATGAATTACATTACCTTACTTTTACATTAATAAGGATAGTCGCCATTATTTTTACCATCACTATTCATACCTTTTAGCTTGTTAATATCTAATCAAACTCTGTACTTTAAGCATATTCCATAACTATTACACAAACAGAACAGTTAATACAATATTACAAATTTTTCTCCACCCATTAGTCAATTGGCCTTCAAGACAAGGTATCAGCAACCACATTCTGTGTCCCCTTTATGTTGTGGATTTCAAAGTCAAAGTCTTGCAGAATCAGCACCCATCTCATCAATTTGCTGCTGTTGGATCGAATAGTCCTTAGCCATAGAAGAGGAGAGTGGTTGGTGCACACGACAGATCTTCTACCCCAAATGTACAACTTCAGCTTTTGCAGTGTCTATACTGTTTCTCAGTGGTGGATAGATCTCTCTCACCAGGTTGGAGTTTCTTGCTGATAAAAGTCACTGGGTGTAGACTCCCGCTGTCATCTGCCTGGCAAAGCATGGTTCCCAGTCCCACCTTCGATGCATCCACGTAGATTATGAAATCACGGTCAAAGTCCAGTGGAATAAGGAGAGGTCCTGAAATCAGCACCCTCTACAGACAATCGAAGGCTACCTGGCACTCTGACATTCACTGGATGTCCTCAGCTCGCCTCTTTCAGGTGAAGCCTGTTTTCTTAACTGGGATGCGAAGGCAGTTTCTTCAACCACTCCATAGCTCCTCCAGCTATGGCTGAATTCCTCTTTGAAATCTTTTTGCACTTGCCTTTACCCTCACCTATAAACTCTCCTACAGGTACTTTAGTCACAAAGCTCTTCATATGAGGGGGGGCCACTTTCCTGGGTAACCTTAAAATTCACAGGCAAGTTCATTTTAAATGAAATCTCAACCACTTTGGCTCATTTCAGATTTAAGATTTTCATCATCTGGTTCTCTCCTGTCAAACTCTGGTTTCTCAGGCAGGGGCTTGTTTTGCAGGATTCTCAGTGCTTTTGCAGCTGCATATGGAGCCTTCTTAATACTAGTCTCTTCAGCTTTCCAGTGCTGTTGTAACAAATCTACTGGTCCTGACCATGCTAACTGCAATTTATTTTCCTTTATGGGCTTCAGCATCAGTACCTCGTCCTCAGGACAGAGTGTTCTTCCCAGGCCTTTTTATTATACCAGCTTTTATTCTTTTCTTGAGCACTCTTTAAGTTTTGCTCTCCTATTTCTAAGGACTTTTGCAAACTCACATGTTGGAGATCACTGGCAATGGGCATAGCTTAGCCCTCATCTTGTCATTCCCAGTACCTCGTTTTTGGCAAGTATCACAGCTTTGACAATATTGTTTAACTTGCTTCCCCATCCCTGGCCAATAAAAGTCCTGTGCCACCCTTTGCTTGGTGTGTGAGATGCCCATGTGTTCCCCAAATACATCTCTGTGTGCCTTTTCTACAATCTTTTCTCTGTATTTAACAAGGACAGTTAGCTGCTTGTGGGGGTCCTCCCCCCCATGAGGAGTCATTAAAACCTCTCTATATAAGAAATCTTTTTCCACACAATACCTCTCTGGGTGTTCAGGGGTCAGTGGAATGGGATTCTCATTAACTTTTCCAAAGCAATCATTTAAGGTAATATGTTACTTCTGCTCCTTAATAAAGGAGGAACTATTAGGATTTTTCATTAGCACGAAATCGGCTCTCTCTCATTTCAGGATGTTCACCTAAAGTGAGTCTTTCAACAAGAGTTTCAGCTGTTCCCTCAGTGGCATCAATCTGCTTCTTCTGAGAATGGGTTACTATTAAAACACTCTGCACATGCTTAGCTAGATCTAAACCAATCAGACAAGGAGCTGGGATTTGGTCTGACACTGCTACTTTCCATATACCAGACCACCCATTTTGTTCACAGATTTTTGGCTGTCGGTAGGACCACCAAATCGAAACCAATCCCTTTAATGGAGACCTTCTCATGTTCTTTCATGTCTTCCTCAGGGATTATATCAGGATGGCAAATAGTTATCTGTGAGCATGAAGCTTTAAGGCTAAGATACGTCTGGCCATTTATAAAAAATAATTCTCCTGAGCTGTCTAGTAAAATTTGATTGCACTTGATAAAATAAGCACTGTAACACTTTAGCCTCTGGAAGTTCTGGGCTCTCTGCCAAGTCCATTCCCTTAGCAACAGGGCTGCCATTGGGTTCAGCTGCTGAAGACTGAAAGAGAAATACTTTTTTAGGCTGAATGTTGTAAGCAATCCCCCATCTCCAAGGAGATTAAGGGGAAGCCGGAGAAGGAGAGATTTCAGAGTTTAGCCAGTCCTTATTAGCTAAGATGAGCCCAATTTCTCAGCCAGGCCCTGACTAACACTCCTTCCTCAAGTCCATCCCCTTGGTTAAGAAAAAGCAACAAAACAGACAATCCATGAGTTTACACTCAGGCTAATCTGGGCTCTATATGGTAGCAAAATATTCGTGGCCAATTAGCTAGGCTAGTCTGTTCAAAAAACCAATGCATGCAATTCCAAATCATTACTGCTTTATTAAGAAACATGGTTCAGTAAATAATTCAGATTATAGCAAAGCAATTCAGTTAGAAACATTTCCATGTCAAGACAGACCACCCCACAAACTCCAGCTAAGAAAAATAACACAAGAAAACATACTAAGCTAGAAGTATGCATAGGCGTTGTCTTTCTTACGTATCCTGTGACTCCATAGTCCATCAGAAAAGGTTAGATTCCAGTTGTAATCCAAATGACCAAGTTGGTAAAAAGGCTCCATTCAAAAGTTATAATCCATTTTGGGAAAAAGCACATGTCTGTCCTTTCTCAGTCAAACTCCATCTTTTCCCCAACTCTACCAACTTCCTTCTTCTTCCCAGAATTCCTCATAAGGAACACCCCCTCCTGGGTCTTGTTGTCCCGCCTAACTTTCTCATGGGAGCTTGAGT